AAAAAAAAAAAAAAAAAAAAGAACCATTGTCTTATTCCACAGATCTGGAAAAAATAAGCTTCATTTGGAACCCCAAAGTCCGAATAGACAAAGCAGTGTTAAGCAAAAGAACAAATACAGAGATATCATGCTATTTGATTCCAAATGATACTATAAGGCTATAATAACCAAAACAGCCTGGTCCCCGTATAAAAATAGAGACATAGACCAATGGAACAGAACAGAGAACCTAGAAACAAAATCATATAGCTATGATCAACTGATCCTTCACAAAGCAAGCAAAAATATACACTGCGGAAAGTATGCTCCATTCAGTAAATGATGCTGGGAAAATTGGATAGTCACATGCAGAAGAAGGAAATTGGTTCCCTATCTCTTGTCATATACAGACATTAATTCAGAATGGATTAAAGACTTTCAGGCATGAAACCTTAAGAATTCTAGAAGAAGGCATAGGAAAAACTCTTCTAGACACAGGCTAGGCAAAGAATTTATGATCAAGACCCCAAAGGCAAACACAGAAGCAACAAAAACAGGACTTACTTAAACAGAAAATCTTCTACACAGCAAAGGAAATAACCAACAGAGAAAACAAGCAACCTACAGAATGGGAGAAAATATTTGCAAACTATACAGAGGATTCCAAAAAAAATGTATACACACTTTAAGAAAGGAAAAATCTGTGTTAAAATTGTATTACTTCCATTTCCACCCTGTCTGAATGGCTATTACTAACACATCAGAAACCAACAGATGCTGGCATGAATGAAGAGCAAAAGGAATGTTTATACATTGTTTATGGAACTGCAAACTAGTACAAGCCCTATGGACAGTAGTATGGAGATTCCTCAAGCTAAAGGGAGACCTGCCATTTGATCCAGCAATCCTGCTACTGAGTATCCAAAGGGAAAGAAATCACTTTATCAAAAATACACCTGCACTCAAATATTTATTGTAGTACAGTTCACAATTGTAGAGATATGGACTCAATCTAAGTGTCCGTAAATTCATAAGTAGATTAAAAAAAAAAAAAGTAGTATATAGCATGGAGCTGTGAAAAGGAATAAAATTTCAGCAACTTGGATGGAACTGTAGACCATTATCCTAAGTGAAGTATCTCAGGAATGGAAAAACAAGCATCATATATTCTCACTAGTAAGTGGGAGCTAAACAGTGGGTACGTGGGAGTAACGCGTTGTAAATGACCATCTTTTGGAAATCATAAAAGGAGGAAGATTGGAAGGTGAGGAATTAAAAACTTACCTATTGGGTATAATAGAACTATTCTGGTGACAGGCACAATGAAGCTGTGATGTCAGCATTATATAGTGTGTGTAACAAAAACATTTGTATCCCCTTTAACTTTATTTATTTATCTATTTATTTTTCTTTGAGATTGAGAGTCTCACTCTGTTGCCCTGGGTAGAGTACTAAGCATCATAGCTCACAACAACCTCAAACTCCTGGCTTGAGTGATCCTCTTGCCTCCCTCCCTCAGTAGCTGGGATTATAGGTACCAGTGCCCAGCTAGTTTTTTCTATTTGTAGTAGAGGGTCTCCCTCTTACTCAGGCAATCCACCCACCATGGCCTCCCAGAATGCTAGAATTACAGGCATGAGCCACTGCACCCAGCTCCCTTAATATTTTGAAATAAAAAATAAAATGCAGTGGACAAAATTTTTAAAAAGAATACTATGCTTTTTTGGTAAAGAATTTTAAAAAATATTTTTATGTGAGAAACTGAGGTTTTTCCTTTCACTGTTGGAAAGTTAAACTGTTCATATCATATTTATATTATTAATTTTTCTAATATAGAGAATTTCTACAAATTGATTTAAAAAACAAGCTGAAGATAGGATAGAGTTAGATTGTTTACCAAGGAGATACAGGTGTCTTAATTTGACTAACAGATTCTCAACTTCATTTATTTAAGAGAAATTGACATTTAAGCTACAATGTCAAACTGTCTTCCGCCTTTCAGAATGATGAAAAGGAGAGGAGAGAGGAGAGCCAGTATTTAATGTTTCCTTGGGTGGAATTAGTGGTTCAGATTCTCTTGGGATCCCAAACAAGCTATCTTCCTGTAAGCCTGTTTCTGAGACTCAGGCACAACCCAAGCTAAGACAAGAAATATTGACCCAACAATTCTACTTCTAGGAATATATCCTATAGATATGTGTGAAATAATGTTTTATACAAAGCAATTCATTACATTATAATAGCAAAAAATTGGAAACAATGTAAATGTCTATATACAGGACAAGTTAAATGACTTAGGGTCTAGCTATACTATGGACTGTTACATTGTTATTAAAACAAAAGGCCTCTGTGTACACTGATTAAGAAAAATGTTCAAGATGTATACTAAATGTAAAAGGTAAGACAGTAACATGTATATTAATGGTTTCATCTGAATAAAATATGGAGTAAATTGCATATGTATGTTATTTATATATGCAGAAATATCTCTAATATCTGTGGAAAGATAGAGGAAAAAATGCTGGTTACAAAATGGGAGGTTTGGGGACAGGAAGGAGAGAAGGACTTTTCCTAGTAATGCCTTTCATGCATTTTAAAATTGTGAATTATGTGATTATGTTAAGTATTGAACTAAAATTTTGTGCATTTGGTCTCAAAGTATTCCTTTCTTTCCTCTTTGAGTTTCTAGGTACTCTAACATTTAATGTTTATTATATATTCAGATCAGTATGGAATAAAATCACATAGCATCCACGTTATCATTTAAGTGTCCATATTTGAGTTTTCCAGCAGACTCCAAGCTAAATTATGATAAGTAATTCTATATCTGTATTTTTTAAAAATAGTACTGTCAGAGCATTTCACATTATGTATATAGTAAGCAGTTTGTAGATACCTGCCAAATTTATTTAAATACCTTACATTTGGCCCCAATTCCAGAGTAATGCCAGCTGTAGAGCAAATTGGGCTTATTGTCTAAAACTTTCATTAATTGCACAATTACTCAGGAAGTTGCTGGAGGAGGAAAAGATAATGGTACTAAAAGAATAAAAGACTTGAATTAAAACAAGGTATTTTTTTTTTATTCTTATGGATAAAGCAGTGGAAGAATATATTTTAACAAATTCTTGATAAATGGGTAAAATGTTTAAAGTTTTGATATTCAAGGATTCAACTTGAATTATTCTAGCAATTCACATATCTACTCTCAGTCTTGGAGCATGCTGAGAGGTCAAAAATATTTGAGTGTCTCCTGTGACCCAGTTCTATACTGGCCCTCAAGGATACAGTGGTGAGCAAAAACAGACATGGTTTTACACTCACTGCACATACAGCCTAATGAGGGAGACAGATATTAATGAACCAGTTATGTTGATGATTTACTAATTACAAATGAATTAAGTGCTCTAACAAAAAAGGGACATGTTTTCTGATAGCAGTCTGAAAGGTATCTGATGTAGGTGTAGGGATGAGGGAAGACTTAGTGCTTTAGTTGAGACCTGAATGAAACAGGGGGTGTGCAAAGTCCACAGCATACAGTCCGTGCTGGGTATTTCAGTCTGTCATTTCCAGATTTATTACCTATTGCTGTCTAACAAAACACCTCCAAATTAGTGGCTTGAAACTACAGCTTATTGTTTCTCATAATTCTGTGGGTTGACTGGGTGATTTTTCTGCTGGTCTTTCCCAAGCTTACTCCTGTGGCTACATTCGGCTGGTGGCTGAGCTGGAGGCTGGGCATCCTGTTCCACATAGTCTTCCTTACCATGGTTCAATCCTGGTATTCCCAGAGGGTAAAACAGAAGCTTCAATGCTTCTTGAGATCTAGGCCCTGGAACTTGCACACTACCACTATCAGTTAAAGCTAATGAAAAGGCCAGTCCAGATTCAAGGCGTAAGGAAATAGATTCTACTTCTTCCAGGAATTTTTTTTTTTTAGATGGAGTCTCACTTTGTCACACTCAGTAGAGTGCTGTGGTGTCACAGCTCACAGCAACCTCCACCTTCTGGGTTTAGGCAAGTCTCTTGCCTCAGCCTCCCTACAGGCGCCCACCACAATGCCCAGCTATTTTTTTGTTGCAGTTTGGCCGAGGCCAAGTTCGAACCCATCACCCTCAGTATATGGGGCCGGTGCCCTACTCACTGAGCCACAGGAGCTGCCCAGATTCTACTTCTTGATGGATGAAGTTACAAAGAGTTTTTGGCTATGTTTTTCAATCTGCTATAGTTTACCTGGTAACTATTTAGTAAATAGTTATTTAATTAACATTATATTAAGAACTAGAAATCAAACATGAATAAGATAACAGTAATTTATAAGTTGCCATTTTTTTCCTTTTCTTGGAGCATATGGTATTTATGAATTATTCTATTTTCTTTAGGGATATTTGTGAATAGTTTTTTCCTCTGATATAAAAATAAATCATCATTAAATGAATAAAATTCAAAAAGTTGAATTTACCTAATTAGAGAAAAGGAAGAAAATCACTGGGGATTATAAGTAATTTTTAGCCTGTGTCAATTTTTAACGAAGAGCGTGTATTTTATAGTCACAAAAGAATTAAAGCTGTATCAGTATTGCCAGGCTGCTATGAATGATACCTGTCTGCACAAAAATTAAGTAGTGATAATCTCAGAGAATTCAAGGATTTCTTTATAGTTATAACTTTGCTTTCAGGTTTGTTTTAGCTGCCTTTTAAAGGAGGTTTCTTCCTAGCTCAAAGTTTAGCCTTTTGGATAATTGTGAATAAATAAATATTATATCTAACACTAATGACAAAGACATTAGCTACATGGAATTTTGCTTTTTGCAGGAAATAGTCCAAGAAATTTTTTTGAGCAGTACAGTAATACCATCTAACTTTTTTTCAATTCTAAGAATGATAAGAATGCTGCTTTTGTTCTGATGGAAAGTGACAGGCTGATCATGAGTTTACCCAGAGTGAAGTGGACAGAAGCAGCACTGACTATGGCATCTCAGCTCCAAGAAGAATGTATTACATTTATTGTAGAAAACTTCTCCAAGATTATTCAGAGTGAAAATTTTGCTCTTTTCTTACAGGTACTATGTCTAAAATTATATCCTGTATTTATTTAGTTCCATCTTTGTAATCTAATTTTAATTACATGAGTTTTAAAATGCATGTTGGCATTGATTAAATTAGTATGATTTAAATAAATTACATAGCAGATGGCATGTTTACATAGGATTTAGAGCAGTGATGGACAGGATTTTTGGCTTCCAAGATAAAGAAGGCAGGAGGGACAGGTTTGAGTGCCCTGGCAAGGCACAATATAATTCTGGCCAACTCTAGTTCTCAAGCAGCATAGCCACATTTTACCAAACCAAAATCATAAAAATACTGTTTTAGTCAGTAATGCAATTATGTCTATGTAAAATTCCTTCTCTTACTAATTCTAATTAGTCATTGAATAAAGAACTCCTATTGCTTATTTCTAGGTTCTGTTTCTGTTTTTTATTTTTTTTTTTAATTTTTTTCCACCAAAACATTTGTATCCCTGTAATATCTCAATTCCGTTATTAAGGCTATGTTGGCTCTTCAAAACAAGGCATATGGGTAGATATTGCAGAGTTTTTTAACCAAGGAAAGGGAAAGAACAATTGCAACTTCAGGTTGACTTCCTACAGCCAGTTATGATTGTTTTGTTATCCAAACCTTCATATTTCTTATACGATATTTTACATGTATTCCTATTAAATATCAATTTCTGTGTTTTGTAGTCACAAGCAATGAGCAGCACAGCTGATCTGTTGGACAAAATTTTAAAAGCAATTGAAGAAAACATTACCACTGAAAATAGTTGCTCTCTTCTTATGGCTCTGGACACATTACTGAACTCTGATAGTACAAAAGAAATGGTACTGATACTGAATATAATAATATTTGTTAAAATTGTATAATATTTGGACTTCTTAAAGATTTTTAAAATGGCATTTTAAGGCCAAGCATGGTGGCTTATGCCTGTAATCCTACCCCTTTGGGAGGTCATGGAAGGAGGATTGCTTGAGCTCACGAGTTGGAGATTAGCCTGAGCAAGAGTGCGACCCTATCTCTATTAGAAATAGAAAAAAATACCTGGGTATGATGGCACATGCCTGTATTCCCTGCGACTTGGGAGCCTGAGGCAAAAGGATTGCTTGAGCCCAGGAGTTTGAGGTTGCAGTGAGCTAAGACGATGCCCTCGCACTCTTGCCAGGGCAACAGAGCAAAAATCTGCCTCAAAAGAAATGAAAAGTATGTGCATTTTAAATGCTGAATGGATCAAGCTAGCTGATGGGTATCTAGGGTTAGTATGGTTTTTGCTTTTGTATTAATACATGTTTAAAATTTTTCATAATACAAAATTTTTAAAATGCTATTTACCTCTATATAGACATCTTATAAAAGTTTAGAAGTTGATACTTTGGCTGATTAATTTTAAACATAGTTTGGCACTAGCAATATTTGGCACAGTATAACTCTAGTATTTTTGATCACTACCTTAAATTTTCTGGATATAAAATGTATATTTTAGAATTTTTAATCAGTATGTTTTATTTTTATAATATATTAATTTTTTTCTCTTTAAAAATATTAAAATTAGATTGACTGGGAAAAACAAAATTAAAATATTATAACTAGTCAATGGTTATTAAGCAACCACAAATTATTTGCCTTTTGTGTTTGTTCAGTAAGCGTGATAAAAAATTTTATCCTAGGTATTACTATTACATAGAGTATTTGACCTTGTAATGTCATAGTTGATTTGAAAAGGCTGTTGGCATTTTAAAATAATTTTTGGTTGAAAGGATAAGATTGCGTTTCATGTTCATTATGTTATCAATGAGTAAGCCTCATAAATAACGGGTACCCGACGATCTGAAAGATCTAAGTGATGACATCATTGATCTAGCTTAGGAGTAAGTAGATTCGGAAAGGAATAATGACTGGTTGCTATGACAATGTGGCTCACACCAGCTGCTGATTTGTTGCTTGAACACAGGGTTTTACGTGCAAGATCCAGGCTCTGCGTGATAAGCTGTGGATCTTCCTGGTTCAGTCTTTTTATGCTGTTCGTCACACAGAAAGCTGGAAGCTCATGAGCACAGATGATCAACAGAAAATCCAAGCAGGTATGTTAGCCTTGAGATATATTTGTTCTTCTATTGTGATCTTTGTGACAGGTATTTTGAGGGGATTCTAATAAGATTAATGTTTAATCTTCTTGCTTCTGTTTAATAACAGGGTGTTAACTGAAACTAGAAATCATATGTTTAGGCAGTTTTTACAAATCATGCTGTTCCAAGAAAATGAAACTCATTTCCTTTATATATCCATGTATGTATCGATTTTTAGTCCTACTGCATATTAGCAGCAACATTCCAGCCAAATTTGCTTAAAAGCATTCTTAGGGAAAGATTAGAAGTATAAGAAAATGTAATCCGCATCGAACAAAGTACCAAACATGGTTTCTTTTCCTTTTAAAAAATATTTTGCTAAAAAGCTTTTGTATCTTTTCCATAAGATTCCCTTTCCTGTGGTTTTCCCTAGAATAGATGGCTTTATTTCACAATTGACTGGTTCAGTGATGTGGTGTGTGCTATTGCAGAGTGTCCCTCAGGGGCCACGCAGTGGTCTCTGACATTTAATGGGTTTCATTTGAAACATAATCATTAAACAGAAGATGTATATTGTACTTAGAGTGTGTGTTTGTTTTAAAAATAATGAAATAAAAATATGACTGTGTAACTAAAAAATGGCTTCATGACAATTTTCTGGTTAAAGTAGGTGCCTTAGGAAAAAAATGTTGGTATATTCAGCAAGTATACTTTCAGAAACATTTTAAGTTAAGAGACTGTATTTTATGAAGCAAATATTTTTGTGCTATGATGTAGAAGCTATATGTGGTAAAATAAATTCTTAACAATACATGAGTATATTAAATTCTTTAGTGGTATAAGTCAGAATGTGATCTGCTCTGTCCTATATTATAAGCATAACATGATAGTGTGGCTGGGTGTATTCCGAGAGCACTTTGCAAAGAAATTCCATTTTTTAACAAAAATCATGAGAAGAAGTTCTTTAGAAATTGGGAATTTTTTCACTGTGACTATGTCTGTGCTGATTTTTAGATGACAGTTTATCTTAACTAGAAAACCTATTACAATATGAAGAAATAATATACGAGCAGCCTTCCTTGAGTAGGTGTCCTTCAACTCTCTTCTCCTTGGTAACAAACTTTGTTTTCCTCTATTTCGGAGGATTTGACAGTTAAGTTGAGCTTCCAACAATGTTCTTTAGTTCTTCAGAGTGCTAATTAAAAAGATGTGATATATGTATATACACATATACACATCTAAATAAAATGTTACTGACAATCTAATCACCAAAAGAACTTTTCATTCTTTTGCACTGCATCAGTGTAATCATTTTTTTAAATCTTAAATTTTTGAAATATAATAGTGAGTCCTGACTTATCTATAATTACTGAATTGGGAAACCCAGGTAAAGGAATGGTTCTGGGTTGTGTCTCTGTTATAATATTTATGTTTTAGTAGTTACTACTGACCTTTGGAGAAATTGTATATTTTAATTTCTTCCTGTATATTATTGTGCTAAGTCATGTGCTTACTGCAACTCGCTCCTTTTAATACCATTTCCAGGGTCCTGCTTTGTCTTATAGCACATATGCTGTAGGACAGAGATCATGGGAGATACAGAGTAGAGTTACAGGCACTTTATTTTTTTATTAACTGATTTCATAAAAATCAAATAATTATTTGAAATTATGTTTGTTTCTTCCAAATGTATCTTAAAGCCCAGTAACCTTCAAAAGAGAGCAGTAGACTAGCTCAGCTGTATTTATAGCTGTCATGCTGTTATGCCTGCCTATATATTTTCCTGAAGTTATTCAGATTCTTATTTGAAGAGCATAAATACGAGTTGTCCCAGTAATTCCCATCTAATGCTATCTTATAAAATGAATTTTTATTTATTTCTAAAAAAGTATGCTATAGATTTGAGGATTATTTCTTGTTTTTTCCCTTTCTCCTTCCTTTTTCCTCATGATGTATCTGCAAAACCAGAAAGTACTTTCAGTTAATTTCACAAGTACTTTTATTATTTTTAGGATAAACATTTTTCAACATTTAATAGTTTATAAAATATTACATTTGCCACAATCTGTAATGTTTTGAAATTTGAAAAACAAACTGAACTAGTTATTTAAAATATCACAGTTTGAGAACATTTTGGTTCTTAAAATATATGTATCTTCTCTAGAGATTGTATATTTCTTGTTGAATAATTTTAATAATTTGAAATCTTAGGAACCAGAGAATAAGATTGAAAATGAGCCTCTCAAAAAAAATCTAAAATATGATAGGGAATTGTTTTTGTATACTAGATTTGTCTCAATTAATTTAGGTTATTTCCATAAAAATATCACCTTTTTCTGCTAGCATGCTATTTTCCCATTATTTCTATGGTAATAGTAATGCTTCTTATAAAAATAAATTGCTATTCCTTCCTACAGCTGCATTTGACAAAGGTGATGACCGAAGACTTGGCAAAAAGCCTATATTCAGTAGCTCCCAGGTAAACTCTCTAAATCTTATAAGTCTAATGAAAAAAGATACCAAATTATTTAAATTTTATTATTTTATATTTCAAAGTATATTTTATTCCTTTTTAAGCACATATTGAATGATAACCAAATAAGTTTTTAAAATCTATTCATTTGTTATTAAAGCTATTTCTTAATGAAAATAATTTTGTCTTTTTTAAAATCAAGTGAACATTTAGCAATTATTTTAATGATGTAAATTTTTTGTGTCCAGCTGGCATGGGAAGTGTCTGCTATTTTCATTTCCTTGAAAACCTTTTTGGCATCTCACATACTGGACTGACTTCAGTAGGTTAGAAATTGTAGACTTAATTCAATGTCTATTTTTCTGATTAACCTACTTCTTGCAAAATGTTGTACTTGTTCTAGTTTTTCCTACACCAAGATTTTAATTCATATAATATATCTTTATATGAATGTTAAAAAAAAAAAGCAGGCTCAACGCCTGTGGCTCAAGTGGCTAAGGCGCCAGCCACATACACCTAAGGTGGCAGGTTCGAATCCAGTCTGGGCCCGCCAAACAACAATGACGGCTGCAACCAAAAAATAGCTGAGCATTGTGGCGGGCACCTGTGGTCCCAGCTACTTGGGAGGCTGAGGCAGGAGACTCTCTTGAGCCCAGGAGTCGGAGGTTGCTATGAGCTGTGATGTCACAGCACTCTACCCAGGGGGACAGCTTGAGACTCTGTCTCCAAAAAAAAAAAGCAGTTAGGGTGGTGCCTGTGGCTCAAGGAGTAGGGCGCCAGCCCCATATACCAAAGGTGGCGGGTTGAAATCCCTGGCCAACCCCAGCCAAAAACTGCCAAAAAAAAAAAAAAAAAGGCAGTTAGTACTAAGAGTACAATTTTGCTTTGCTTGGTATACTTGTATGAGGTATCTAAAGTAGTCAAAAAGGTAGAATGATGGTTATTGGGACTAGAGGGAAGTATTAAAAGGGACTTTTTGTTCCATGAATATGGAGTTTCAGTTTTGCAAGATGAAAAAGTTACAGAGAATTTTTTTGTGGAACAGAGTGCATGCGGTTAATATTATTGCTCTGTATTTAAGTATACTAAAGTGTATTAAAGGGTATTAAGTGGTTAAGATGGTAGATTTTATATTTTGTGTTTTTTACACACACACCCCCATAGAACATTACTTGATAGATTTGTTATAATCTGAGATACATTTTTCCTCCTAAACTAACTTACAGATGTTCACTTAACTAATAATACATTGAAATACAAAATTATTCTAACCTCCTATGTGGATTACAGTGATATTAAGAAAACATACATTGAGAGTCCCAATTTGGAGTACAAAGTATATACTGTTCTTACAAGCCCAATAGGGGAATCTTCTCTTTTTCCTCATCCACCAGTAGGAAGGAACTAATGCAGCTCCACGATACTAACCAAGAGCTCTCTTGGCTTGAGGTTAAGCTCCCAAATTTCTTGGGTGAGGAACTGTGGAATACTGGAGCTGGATATACTTTAGAATTATTTTTCAGAGTGTTTCACAATATACTAGCTTTATCATATATTCCACCTGAGAACATCTAGCATTAAACTAAGTTTGAAAATTGCTACACACCATACCTCCTCTTAGAAACCAAAGATGCTTATTTCACCCTAAAATTGTTGAGAAACACTGTAGTAAAGAACACCTTTGAATTTTGTTTCACCCCAGGTTTCCCCCAATTTTATAACTATGGAAAACCACTAGGCTTTCCCTTTTAAGCATATGGTACAGTTCCACAGAGTGTACACTAAGAAATGGTACCTTAGGGCATTTTTTTCTAGTCCTTTTACTAGTTCCCTGTTATCCTACTTTTTTTAAAGGCTCCCAGGAATTAGCCTACTTGCCTTCTTTTCCCCTGCTGTCTACCAGGCTTTTCCTCCTTCCTGGTTTACAGCAAAGTAGAACAAAGTCTCGTTGTTCTTCCAAATTTCTCTGGCTCTGAAGCGGTTGTCTGAGCCTTCTTTTCTGTTAACAATGTGAGGATTGCTTGAGCCTAGGAATTTGAGGTTGCTGTGAGCTATGATGCCAAGGCACTCTAGCTCAAGCAACAAAGTGATACTGTCCTAAAAAAAAAAAAAAAAAGTCGGCGTGGGGCTGGGGTGAGAGAAGGAAACCAGGTAATAAGTTTCCCTTGGAAAGGTAGTAGTATACTGAAGTTGATGCTGGACATAAAATCAGAATTCAAATCTTGACTTCACATTTATTATCAGTGATGTCTGTGCATCTTAGCTTACTTATCTACAAAGTAGAGTAATAAAACCTAGTAGGATTATTGTGAAAATTAGGTGAAATAATTTATGTGCAATTATCTAGTATGTAGTAAGTACTCAATGCATGTGGAATGAGTTAATGTGTTTTCCAAACAGAGATGAGATCATTAGGAAGTGGGAGAAAATTAATCCGGTAAGGCAGAGAGAAAGGTTTAAGAAGAGTGCTAACGCTAAATTACAGGATGTCCCTGAAGTCGCCATAGAGAGAAAAATGGGGAAATTGTAGCTAAATGTACCTTTATTCACAAAATACTCACTACAAATTTTTATAAAGAGGTGGCAAACACATAGAGAATATTTTATAAATATTTTGTTCTTATGGATAAAATATACATTACCTATGTTTTGCTTCCAAACAAAATTGGTCATGAATTGATAGTTTTTAAAGCTAGGTATTATGTACATTGGAATTCATTACATTGTTCTATCTTCTTTTGATTATATTTAAACTTTCCTGTGCTAGAAAGCAAACCAAAATAGGGAATTAACGATGTCTAAGAGGAATGCTGAGAGGGTTACCTTCCTTTTTTTCATTTTTGTTAATGGAATGTGGTGACCATTCCCAGTTGGACATTTATATAAGAAATGTATACAGACTTTGTAGATGTAAGTTAGAGACTGCCTGGAAATGTGATTTCATTGAATCCTTATTGTGCTGTATTATGTGAATGTGATTTCACATAGCATAATACTTCAAATGCATAGATTAAGGATAGAGTAAATCAAGTAGAATCAGTTTTAATGGTGGGAAGGGACTCTAAAAGTCAACCTGGTTTGAGGTACTAAAAATAGAAAAATATTATTTTTTGAGCTAAGATTTGATCAAGAAAATAAAAAGTGAAGACCAAGCCTTTTTGAACTTTGTAAATGTTGGATAGACTCCTAGAACACTGCTGTGAATAGGATTGGTCTCCACTCTGTAGACATGCATAATCTGAGGCCCCAAGATATTAATAATTTAAATAAGCCAAGTTGGGTAGAGGCAGCGCCAGGACAGGACAAGAATCTAGTGATTCCTTCATCACCACACCTTTCCTCTAAATTTAGCCAAGTTGTTTATTTATTTAGAATTTGTCCTTATACACATAATTGCATACATACACTGTCGGTGCCCCCGTGTCACCCCGTCACTACATGAATAAAAGCAGCTGGGACATGGATTGAAGGTACAAGCCTACAAGAAGTGGGCTTCCCCTAGGTGCAGGGAGAGCCCCGAGTAACCTCTTTTGTGGCCTTTTATTGCAGCATCATACAACAGGTGTGGGGGAGCTCATGTACTGGAGCTGTGCACTTAATGATCACTATATGCTCTTTCCCCACGGGCTCAACTCCCACCCTGTTGCACAGATGTCCAAAGTGTAGCACCTGCTTGCTAACTAGCAACATCATTAATGCATGCAGTTGCTTGAGGGCTTATCTCCAGGCTACAGCTAGGAGATTGTCTTGCTCCCAGCATCTCCCTCAAGAACCTATGGCTGCTTCTATAATCCTGGTGCTCGATCTCCTACATACACATACGTATATACTTTATTTTGTCTTAAATGGTTTTTCATATAATTAGAAACTTTTCATATTTAGAAATAATTAGACCTTATACTGTATATTAATATATGCCTAGTTTTAACAATACTAATCCCATTTTTTGAGTATCCAATCTGTGATGAGCATGGTGCCTAAGGGTTTTAGAATAAAAAATGAAGGCTCAGCACCTGTAGCTCAAGCGGCTAAGGTGCCAGCCACATACACCAGAGCTGGCAGGTTCGAATCCAGTCTGGACCTGCCAAACAACAATAGCTACAACCAAAAAATAGCTGGGTGTTGTGGTGGGTGCCTGTAGTCCCAGATACTTGGAAGTCTAAGGCAAGAGAATCATGTAAGCCCAGGAGTTGGAGGTTGCTGTGAGCTGTGATGCCCACAGCACTCTACTCAGGGTTACAGCTTGAGCCTCTGTCTCAAAAAAGAAAAAAAAAATGAAGACAGCTCAGGCTCTGCCGAATACCTTTACGATCTCATACAACTTTCCCAAGGGGGGGTGGGGAGAATAAGTGTTTACATACTTACATAAAGAATAACGATATAACCTTAAAGTTTTATTCTAAACTTTCTACCAATTTTAAAAATTTTGTAGTTCCTTCCATGTGAAGGTTTAGTTGTAAGCAACTGATAAAGTTAGCTGCGTTTATCATTAGTGTCCTTTTATATTTGCCCCTTTATACTTCATCTGTTTCTAAGATCCTTTTTCCTCCCCTGCTTGTAGATAGCTAATACTGTACTACTTATCTTGTTCTTCCAAAAACTAAAGTTTTTCAAATGTAATGCTATGTTTCCTAGGAAGTTTTTAATTTTTTCTTTTTTTTTTTTTTTTTAATGAAGACTTCAAGAAATAAACACTTCTCACCACAGAGCATAATATTAAATGATAAAATTTCTGGCATTTGAGATATGATTAAAGAGAGAATTTTTAGTGAAAATCTTTATCATGTCCCTCAGATTATGCCATATAGATAACTACCTGCCTGAGGCAATAAGTCATGAGCCCAAGTTCTGGTTCTAGTCTTTACCAGCATGTGACCTTGAGTAAGTCACATACCTACTTTAATCCTCATTTTCTTGTCTAAGAAATGGAAAAAGCCAGAGGAGCAATTTCATAGGATCTAGATGAGGTATGAAAAAGATTTAGCACAGAACCTGAGTGTGGGCCCTCGAAAATCTTGGATATTATTAATATCTAAAGGATATTATGTATCCTTTAAGAGATTAGATATTAATCTCTCTATAACTTCATAAATTAAAATAGTGTGCCTTTAAAATAAACATTTTATGCTGTGTCTTAGATTAAAGGTAATATAATCAGAGACAAAAAATTTTGATCAAAGCTGATTTAAATTTTGAGTGACCCTAAATCATACATGAACTTTGCTGTCTTTTTTCTTTGAAAGACTAGCTTTTTGAAACATAAAATAATATATGTCAAAGACTTCAGTCAAATTACAGACTATTTTTTTCTTCTTTATAGCAAAGGAGACAAGTTTCTGATTCTGGTGCTATAAAAAACAAATCTTGGAGGGGAAATAACAAGAAAGAGTGTTGGAGTTATCTCTCTACTAATAAACAAAAGATGAAATCTGATGGATTAGGAGCATCTGGACAGTCATCAAGTACTAGTATAAGTAAAACTTTGACTCATGATGCTTTAAAGGAAAAAGATGGTACAAAAATAGCAGCTAAAGTTACAAAAGAATTAAAAACTGGGGGAAAAAATGTCTCTGGAAAGCCCAAATCTGTGATAAAACCCCAAAATGAAAACATTGGTAACACAAGGTGGGAAAACATGGCGCCTAAACAAGTTGGGGGAAGATCAGCAATGGCAGCAGCAACTGGACAGAAAACTTCATTAAATGGAAAAGGAGTGAGAAACCAGGAAGGGCACACTGCAGGTGCCAGACCCAAGGTACTCACTGGAAACTTAAATGTGCAACCCAAATCAAAGCCTTTGAAGAAAGTGACAGGCAAAGATTCTCCATGCCTGAGCATCACAAGACCTTCCAGCATGTCTACAAATTCAAGTATGGAACTATCAATTTCCACTGAATGTTTGGATGAACCAAAAGAAAACGGATCAGTGGAAGAAGAAAAGCCTTCTGGTCACAAACTACCCATTTATGATTCTCCAGGACAAACAGTGAAAAACAGTATAAACAGTGTCAAAACCTCCACTGTAGGTGGGTTCTAGAACTCTAATTTTTAGTAGCTCCTACGAGTTAAAAGTTCCTAGAAAAAAAAAATCCTGTATTTGGGCTTTATTTGGTTTCAAATGCAAAAAAGTATTTATTTATATGTATTTACACAAATTGAGAGAAAACATAGTCCTTCCCACTTTAACAATTGTGTTATATAGTATCTGGCCAGGAAATTTACAGATAATTGTTGCATATTTAATGTGTTCTGTTTCATGACTCACTTTTTCTTAATTTATAGCAGTAAAATCTCGAGCTGTTTCAAGAGTTACTAATGGAACTTCCAATAAAAAAAGTATTCATGACCAAGATTCTAATACAAGCAACAGGTAGGTCTTCATTTAATGTTTTGCCTATATGTTAGCTTTCTCTTAAAGTTAATTATTTGCTAACTTTTAGCTAAATATTTTCAAAATATCTCCTTTGTTAAAAAATTTAATGTATTTACACAGTGATATTTTAAAACTGCTTACTTATTAAAAGAAGTTAGTATGTTTATGCAAAGGGATGATTGATGCAAAATATTATGCCTTGCTTTATCATACGTGATAAAGCACAGTTTTATCCACTTAAAGACTTATGAACATAGGGTTTTCTATTTTTAGAAGTTTTTTTTTTTTTAATTTCTTGGGGAAAGTTCTATTTCAGTTATGGGCCTTTTAAAAGTTTATGTTTTGGAATCTCAGTGTAAAACTGAATGCAAATAATTTTTCTTAGTGTACTAAAGAAAGTCAGTGCCAAAGGATATGGTGATCCAGTACCACAGGCAATTTTGAAGAAAAGAGGAAATGGTAATGGATGTGCTACAGCTCAGCAGAAGACAAAGAGTACTCCGTCTAACCTTGTTAAATCTCAAGGTAAAGCTGAAATAGTCCTGGGTATTATGAATGTTATTTCTTATTTAAATTGGATAAGCAGAACTCTGATTCAAACTTTGGTCACAAATAGGCAAAATATATTTCACTCATTTTACATTTGTTTGACAGTATAGAGATGAGAATTTATATTTTCACTCTTAAGTAAGCATTTTAATGTTTTAGGATGTGGGCTTGTTTTTTATTGTCTTTTATGAAATAAGTAAGAGAGTCACTAGTTTATCTGCATTTCTGGTCCTTTTATAATTTATGCCCATATTTCTTTAAAAGTTTTGTTGATAACTATAGGTATACCATCTGTAAAACTTGTAGTAATGAGCTTTTTAAATAGTAATAGTACCACCTAGATCAGTGGTTCTCAACCTTCCTAATGCCTCCTAATGTCGTGACCCTTTTATACAGTTCCTCATGTTGTGGTGACCTCCAACCATAAAATTATTTTTGTTGCTACTTTATAATTTTGCTACTGTTATGAATCATAATGTAAATATCTGATATGCAGGATGTATTTTCATTGTTACAAAGGGGTTGCAACCCACAGATTGAGAACTACTGATCTAGATAGTTGTAATATGTAGCGAGGAAGAATTTTCCCTCCAGAATCTGTGCTGTGTCCATTGTTTTTCGATGTTCCAAGAATAAGAGTGCTGATCAGCATGCATGATTTTAAAAATCTCTTTGCTTTATTCATTAAGCATTTGCATATGTAAGAGCAATTATAAAATCCTTATTTAGATTATGAATTAGCACTAAAAGTGAATTAAACAATAAGGCCAAGAAAAAGTATTCATGTGCTATTAGTAGCTAAAAATTAAACATTTATAATATTCTATTTGATAGATTTGAATATCTAACATATCTCTAAGATTTTAACCAGTATAAACAGATGGATTCCCAAAATTAACTCCTTTTTTATTCCAGTCAGCTGTTCTAGTTTCCACTGCAGATCTAAGTTGTTAGTCCTAATGAGCTACAGTAATAATGACCTGGTTATGAGAAGTAAATTGGTTTTATTCCTGTTTGATGAAAAAAATATATATAGCAATTTCAACAATTCTGTTTTACGTTTTATAGTTAGCTTGATTCTCCTTTTTAGCAGTGTAAAACATAGTAATTTTTTCTTCCAAAATATCAAAGGGGATACCCTGCTTCTCCTTTAATGTAAGAAAATCAGATTTTATCGCCCTCATTTATGCAAACCAAATTTTGGCATAAGGATCAAGGCTCTTTACTTGAGGAAGAGATATTTTATTTTAATAATTTTTATTAAGACCATGGAACAGTCCCCCTATATTTTTTTTCTATATATAATTTTTATTTTTTATTTTTATTTTTTTTGAGACAGAGCCTCAAGCTGTTGCCCTGGGTAGAGTGCCGTGGCATCACAGCTCCCAGCAACCTCCAACTCCTGGGCTCAAGAGATTCTTTTACCTCAGCCTCCCAAGTAGCTGGGACTACAGGCGCCTGCCACAACGCCTGGCTATTTTTTGGTTGTAGTTGTCCTTGTTTGGCAGGCCCTGGCTGGATTCAAACCCACCAGCTCTGGTGTATGTGGCTGGCACCTTAGCTACTTGAGTTATATATAGGCACTGAGCCTCTATATTTTTAATAGAAAAATCTTCTTTAAATTTTATTACAGAACTAATTCCTAATCTATAATTGTCCACTTGATCATAGATACGTTATCCTTTCATTGTTGTATGGGTTTTGTTTTTTTAAGTAATTTTAAGATAAACATTAAATTTCACTCACAACTTGGAGAGTATATTTCTGAACTTTCTTTTCTTAGGAACCTACGGAGAGTCATCAAATTCAGTAAAATCTTCAGTATCTTCAAGGCAGTCTGATGAAAATGTGACCAAGTTGGACCATAAGGCAACTATAGATAAACAAACACCTAAGAGAAAAACTGCCAAGCAAGGACACACAACTTTGCCTAAGGGTACTGCAAAAGGAGTGGCAGTACCTAAAAACCTAAATCAGTCGAAGAAAGGTGAAACTTTGAATAATAAAGATTCAAAACAGAAAGTGCTTCCTGGACAGGTTATAGTAAAAACTCAGCTTTCTCAAAGACCTTCAAAAAGTGAAAAATCTAGTGTCCAAAAAAGTATGTTTCATGACATACGTTGTAACAATAAGGACAGTGTTTCTGAACAGAGTCCTCCCAAGCCTCTAATTAATCTCACATCTGAAACCAACGATGCAGAAACATTCCAGTCATCATGTAGACCTGATGCACAAAAGCCATTAAACAATCACGAGAAAGAGAAGCTAGTATTAGAATGCCAAAATATCTCAAAGCTGGATAAATCATTAAAACATGAACTGGAATCAAAACAGATTTGTTTAATAAAAAGGGAAGCAAAATTCCCTAATCACAAGGAAACAGATGGTTGCAGTGCAGCTGACATACATTGTCATTCTGATGGGAGTGGTCGTATAGATGCAAAATTTCATAGCACTACTGCCCCCAAATCCATGATTTCAAATCCAAATGAAAATTCCTTGAACTCTAATCCAATTTGTGATTTAGACTCAAGAAATTCAGGGCAAATCCACATAATATCAGACAGGGAGAACCAAATAGAGAGAAAAGATACGAACAAAAAATCAAGCATTAAATGTGTGAGAGATGTGTCATGTTGTGCTCCTGAAAAGACAAATATAACCTTAAATTCTGTTCAAAATGACAGAAAATCTACAATTGATGTAGAAGAAATGATAATTCCTAGTCAGTTGCCTGATGATTCTGCTATGAATGAAGACAAACTTGCCGCGGCAGACTCAGATATTTCCTCCAGATGTTTTTTGGGACACCTATCAGGAAAAAATTCTCCTAAAAATATGGAAACATTGGAATCTCCAGAGAGCCATGAAACTCCATATGTGGGTCCCTGGAATTTGAATACCAGTGTTCTGCTTCAGAGGGAGAGTCCTGAATCTGACACTGGCAGTGCTACCACATCGTCTGATGACATAAAGCCCAGATCTGAAGACTATGATGCTGGGGGGTCTCAGGATGATGATGGGTCAAATGACAGAGGTATTTCCAAATGTGGCACTATGCTGTGCCATGATTTTCTTGGAAGAAGTAGCAGTGATACTAGTACTCCTGAAGAATTAAAAATTTATGATAGTAACTTAAGAATTGAAATAAAAATGAAAAAACAAAGTAGTAGTGATCTTTTCCAAGTTAATTCGACAAGCGATGATGAGATTCCAAGAAAAAGGTCAGAAATTTGGTCTCGATCTGGAATAGCCCACCCTAGAGAAAAGGAAAATATTCCACGAGGCAGTGTCCAGTTTGCTCAGGAAATAGATCAGATTTCTTCTTCGGCAGATGAAACAGAAGATGAGAGGTCTGAAGCTGAAAATGTTGCAGAAAATTTCTTGCTATCTAAACCAGCTCCTCAGCAGTTTCAGGGAATCATTAATTTAGCTTTTGAAGATGCAACTGAAAATGAAAGTCGTGAGTTTTCTGCAACTAAAAAATTTAAAAGGTCAGTTTTGCTTTCAGTAGATGAATGTGAAGAACTGGGATCTGATGAAGGAGAAGTCCATACCCCCTTTCAGCCTTCTAAAGATTCTTTTTCACCTTCTGATGTTTTTGATGGCATTTCTCAGGAACATCATGGAAGGACCTGCTATTCCAGATTCTCACAAGAAAGTGAAGATAGTGTTTTAGAATGTAAGCAACAAGATAAAGGTAATAGCGTATATAAAAATGAAAGCACTCTCTTCAATCTCAGTAGCACTGATTCTTTGAGAAGAGATAAACAGAGTATTTCAAGCACAGGAAAAAAGAACACAATCGATGTCTTGTCCAACAGAGGCAGACACCTTCTTCCAGAAGATAAAAAATTAAACAGTGGAAGCAGTATGGATAATGACTTACAGCAATGCCGCAAACTCTTGGATGGTGACGTAAAATCTCAAGGAAGACCATGTCATTTGGAGCTTCATCAAAGAGAACCCAATTCCGACATACCAAAGAACAGCTCTACGAAATCTCTTGACTCCTTTTGGAGTCAAGTTCTGCCTCAGGAAGGTCAAGTGAAAGAGAGCCATTCTACAGCTACTGAAAAAGCTAAAATTGCTTTATCTGCAGGTAATGTACAGAAATAGAAACTCTAAATGCATAAGGAATGAGTTTATAGAATTTTAAAGTTATAAGTAGCCCTGAATGTAATATTTTAGTTAGATAGAAGAATTACTTATGCAACAGATTCAACTTTTAAATGAAAACTTAAATTTCTTAATAATAGGAAAATTAGCTAGGTACTCATTCTTTATTGTTCACTTAAAATCCTAGTGAAGAATTAATATCTAGTAAAAATTTTGGTTCTTTATTAGATAGAGTTAACCTACTAAAAGATTTTACATGAAAGAATAAAGAGAAAAACTTACTTTATTGCTATTTAGTTATTTATGTCTAACATAAGAATTCTTGACTATTAGAAATTTTATCATATACTGGATATGATTTATGGACTTGCTAGTATATGTCTATGAGGGTTGTGCAATAACTATAGGAATATGTAACTAAAAAAAAAAGCACCAAACTATTTTAACATCTAGATTGATTATTAGAATTTGTATATATTTTACAGGGATTAAGACTTTCAAGATCACTATATAATTCTATTATAAAATTTTCAGATAGATAAATTTCCTAAAAGAGATTATATTTAGATGCAAGGATAATATATGAAAAAAGCCCAGGCTTATTTCATATGCTTAGATGGTTTCCTGTTTGTTTTGTGTTTTTGTCGTCTTTATTATAGTAATTGAAACTAATGACTCATACCTTAAATATGCAATAGTGGCTAATTGAGTAGCTATTGTGTATCATAACTAAGAAAAACACTAATCAATAGTTCCTTGATTCAGCAAAATCAGAAGAATAAGGAGACCTTTAAAAGTGGTACTTTTTTGTTTGTCTCTGCTTGCATCCTCCTTTGCATGTGCAATATGGAAATAAGTCTTTAGATGAAATGTATTTATTCCTCCTTTTGGAACTGAGTGACCTTCAAAGTCACCATAAAATAACAGTGTCTTTTTTTTTTCTCTCTTTAAGTTTCTATTGTAGTGAATTAGATACATGTGTACATCTATGTTTATGTTTGAATAATTTATGTTGTTTTTTGTATCACAAATTTTCAAATTAAAGTATGGAGAATTATTGTTAGTTACCTATATGGATTTTGCTGCTACACGTTACCTTTGAATTTTTTAAACACAGAACAAAAAAATGGCCCAGAAACCTTGTCAATTCTGTACAGATGTTATTTTTCCCATTCTGTTTTTTTTAACTATAACTATCCCTGTTATATTGTGTTAATATTGTTCTACAAAACTCTGAGGGGTACCAACAAGTGCAGTTTTTACATTGTGTAGTATTATGAATTATTTCAGGAGACATAAGTGATTGTGACACACTGGCACAAACCTGCATATATGACCACCGGCCTTCAAAAACCCTCTCTCCAATATATGAGATGGATGTAATAGAAGCATTTGAGCAGAAAATGGAATCAGAAACACACGTTACAGATATGGATTGTGAAGATGATCACCACTTTGCAAAACAAGATTGGACGCTATTAAAGCAGCTGCTCTCAGAACAGGACGCAAACTTAGACGTTACAAACTCTGTTCCTGAAGACTTAAATTTAGCACAGTATCTCATCAATCAGACACTACTTTTAGCACGGGACAGCTCAAAACCTCAGGGTATAGCACATATTGACACTTTGAACAGATGGAGCGAACTAACATCTCCGCTTGAAGACTCCTCAGCGAGCATTACTATGGCGAGTTTTTCCTCTGAAGATTGTTCACCTCAAGGGGAATGGACAATTCTAGAACTGGAAACTCAGCATTAAGATTGTTAACACTTAGCCGGGCATTGTGGTGGATGCCTGTAGTCCCAGCTACTCGGGAGGCTGAGGCAGGAGAATCGCCTAAGCCCAAGAGTTGGAGGTTGCTGTGAGCTGTGACTCCACAGCACTCTACTAAGGGCAATAAAGTGAGATTCTGTCTCTTAAAAAAAAAAAAAAAAAGGAGTGTTAACACTTTGGAAAATTTTAAACTATGCCACCTCTTTATTTTTTTGATGTTTATATTACTATCTAAATGATAATTGCATTAGCCAGAAGAAACAGACTGTCCCTAATATTGAGAGAGTCTTTCCAATTTAATGAAGTAATAAACATAGTTTATTTATTAATGATATCACATGTAGAGAAAAGTTTTTTCTAAAATTTTCGAGCATGTTTTTATGATTATTAGAGAAATTAGAAGACTTATAAGGAAACCCTTGTTTCAGTTTTCGTTTCCTATTTGTTCAATTGTTTATTATTCAAGAATTTAAAATGTGAATGCACAAGTAGATCAGTTCCTTTACTTTTTGCTTTGCAAATAGTAACATTGTAATTTAACAATAAAAAACTTACTGTGCTTGTGTCCATCTGTGTAGAGTTAATCTATGATAACATAAAAGTTAGGTTCAGGCAGTTGAGGCTGAAGCCTTGGGGAAAAAACCTTCACTTTCCAAACAGTTCAGGTCCAGGAATATTCTAATGCAGGTGCATCTCAAATTGTAACCACATCATTACTAACACAGGGAAAAATGGATTTTCCTGTATCTGTCTTTTCTGTATTTATTCACAGAGTGGCATCTGCCCTTGTACAAAAGACGTAGGAAAACTGTTTTATCTATTTAGATTCCCTTACAGTTAGTTAATCACTCTCCATTTTCCATTTCATGTTGGGGATATTTTGGAACTGCATCTACAAAAAGCCAGCACTGAAATAAATACTAACTTGAAAATGGGTAGGTGAGGCAGTTGACTTAACTGACCTTAAATGTGTAGATGTGTCTGTGTGCACACGTGTGTGTTTCCTTATTTTCTTGACCAGACTGTCTTTCAGTCTGTAATTCTAGTAGAAAAACAAAGATAAAAAGGGCTTTTGTTGTGAGTGGCACACGTGGGGCAACTCAACTGCTCTTTGTGTGGAATCAACATCAAGAGATTTTGGAAGCTACCCCAGAAGTGCATTAATGTACATAGTTACGGCTCGGCGCCTATAGCTCAACCGGCTAAGGCGCCAGCCACGTACACCTAAGGTGGCAGGTTCGAATCCCCAGCCCAGACCCGCCAAAAAAAAACAATGACGGCTGCAACCAAAAAAATAGCCGGGCGTTGTGGCGGGCGCCTGTGGTCCCAGCTACTTGGGAGGCGGAGGCAGGAGACTCGCTTGAGCCCAGGAGTTGGAGGTTGCTGTGAGCTGTAATGCCACGGCACTCTACCCAGGGAGACAGCTTGAGGCTCTGTCTCAAAAAAAAAAATGTACATAGTTACCATTCAATAAAAAATAAATAAATAAATAAAAAATAAAAATGGAGCAGAAGAAAAAAAAGAGAGAGATTTTGGAAGCATAATTTTTTGGTACCTGGGCAGCTGATGATGGTTGGTCCCAGCTCCCTTGAAAACAAACAAACAAACAAAAACTAAAAACTCTTTCCTACAAAGTAATGGGGAGTGATTACTTGGATACCTGTGATGTTGGTGGATATCATCCTTAGGATAATGGGATTTCATAAGTTAACCTCTCTCAAAGCTTTGTAGCTACCTCATAACTTCTCAAAAATGTCAGAAGTAAGGAAATCTTTTAGTTTATGATTCTTTTTCAAAATTAGCAAATTTTTCAACAAATGCTTAACAATAGACAGAATCTATAACTATATGGATTATCAACAATCATATTAATATACAATAATTTATTGTTATGTAATAGCGTAGGTATTATACATTAGCCTTAGCTACTAAGCTATTATGCCATAAATTTGCAGTGCTTTTTTTAACTGGAAGCTCTGTACGGGGGGACACTCATTTATTCAAGAAACAGTTAATCATTCATTCAAACTCAAGAAATGTGCATTGGTTTTAAGCACTGGAATGTAAAGAAAATAAGATTTGATCCTTGCCCTAAAAAAAAAAAAAACCTGAAGTTCTAGTAAGAAAAGGTAAGATATTCTGAGCACAATGTAAGGGTATATGGCACACCTCCTGGTGAGGGACACAACTACAAGGACCTTACCTAACAATGCAAACATTGTAACCTAATTGATTGTACCCTTATATTAACCTGAAATTTAAAAAATGTATTTGAGAGCTGGATGGGAGTTTAGAGATTATTTAGTCTAAATCTCTTCAAATTTCAAAGGAGGGCTCTGACTCCCAGGGGAATTAAAAGACTGCCCAAGATCCCACAACTAATTTATGGGCTACAGTCCACTATTTCTTCATTCTGGTTTGGTATTTCTATCATACAACACACTTCATTTGATTTTTCTCACAAAACCTGAGAATGAATACTATAATTTACAGATAGTTTAATATAAAGAAGCATTACATTACAGAGGCAAGACAACACAAATTCTCAAGACATTGTATTTTCTTTTCCAAATGTGAAAGAGTTTGGTGTTATTTAAAAATCTTTCAGAAAATTAACAAATTTATAATTGAAACTTCATTTCTTTCCCAGTTCTAAGGTCTTGAAAACTTTCTTCTTGAACTGCTAAGCAAATTGCTAAGCGTTAAAATCTACTAGATTTCATTTCACATCTGCAAGAAGATAATTCAGAAGGCATTTTGCTTAAGTAGCAACTGCTTAGGGAATTTCAAGATGCATTGTTTTCATATCATGCTCTTTTGTGAACCACTCATTTACCAGTCCCACTCTGTTTGCAGTGGGACTTTTTGGATGAGTACTTCATCATTCAACAAACATAGATTCAAAACTAACCCCTAACACTAATTTAGCACTTATGTGTTAGACACTGTGCTAATATGCATGATTAAATATGTATAACACATTTAATTCTTACAACAGTCCTATGAGATGTCTTCTTATCATCTTTATTTTACACATGAGGAAATTGATGTAGAATCTTTACCTGAGATGAACTGCCATACTGGAGGAAACTGACAGAGAAAATAACACACTACATTATTATTTGGTAAGGTTAACAGTTGTAAGTGGTCAGAATTACAGAATCCAGAAGGAGAAGCTACAAATGGCTTGTCAGGAAGAGAAGATTAGACAAAGCTTCTTAGGACAAGTAATATTCTGTGATTGCTTCAGAATTTCAAGAGAGAAGGTGCTTAGTGGCTACAATCTAATTGGAAGCGTACGCCAGGTGACTTGTCTTTAGGATACACTGGCATAGAAAGTACTTTGTTTTACTTAGATCATATGTTGGAGATAATAAAAATATAAACATTTTAAAAAGATGCTTTGGGGAGGGAGAAGGGAGGGGGGAATGGGTGGAGGGAGGGAGTTTGGAGGGATTACTTCTGAGGTTTACCTTATAGGGGTACAGGTGAATCTAAGAGTAGAATGTGAATGTTTTAAAGCAATAACTGAGAAAATGACATGAAGGCTGTGTTGACCAGTTGATGGAAGTATTTCAGATTGCATGTGAAAACCCCACACTGTACCCTAGAAGTGCATTAATGTACATAGTTACCGTTCAATAAA